GGCCCGGCCCGGCGGGATTAAGTTTCCCGGTCACGCGTGAGTGTCGGTGCGCGTCTGTCCCGCCGTGACTGCAGAGGGGAGCGCGGGCCACCCCGGCTCCTGGCCCTCTCGTAACCCAGTCTGTCCGGGGCACCCTCGGCTGCGCCTGGGTAAGTAGCCCCTAGCCGGGCCTGGGAGGCCGGAGCGCGTCCCCGCGTCCTGCGTGCGCGCCGGCCGGGAAGGTGCGCGGGTGCCCGGGCTGGGAGCGCGGGGTAGGACGGGGGACGGGGAGGGGCGGAGGGTAGCGGGTGGCGGCCGGGGTGTGCTCGCTCCACCCCGCGCGGCCCGGAGAGGCCCGTGGCGCGGTCTCCTACATAAAAGGATGGGGTCTGGAAGTTTCCTTTGCTCCTCCCCAAATCCTCTGGGCACCACTCCCTCCCCCCCCCCTTCACTGGCTTATCCGAAATGGTTCTAAAAGTTGTTTTTTTTTTTTGTTTTCCCCCACAGAGAGATGTGTAGAGAAGGTGCCGGGGGACGGGCAGGCGGGGGGGGGTGGCCGAGCGGGCAGGGCCTTCTGGGGGTGCGCAGCCTGTTGCTCTCCGCCCCCCTGTGCAGAGGGAGGGGAGGGGGACCGAGAACGCTTCCAGTCTAGCGCCTTTAGCTTTTGATTGTGTGCGGGGCAGGGGGGGGGAAGGGGGGTGTCTCCCCCAAGGCGGAGCCACTAATGGGTACCCCACCCTCTGGGTGCCCGGGGCCGGGTCATCCGCTGTGCGTGCGGCCGGCCTGGGTCTGCGGTGTCTGTTCCTTTCCCCAGCGGATGGGCGTCTTTGTCCGCTGCCTGGGGATGCCCGGACGTCCCTGAGGGGCGCGCCGTTTGGGAGCCGCTTTGTGTCCGGGGGAGCCGGGCTTGTGCCGGGCGGGTAGTGATGGTGTTACGTTTGTTTTGTTTGCCTTCTTGGCGGAGGCCCCGAAAGAAAGGCCTAGTTCTCTGTGGTCCTGGGGAATCACCAGGCAATGCCAAGCTGGGGCTGCCGGGGAGGGAGGCCCTGGGCGGAAGGAAGGTGGTGGTCGCTGGCAGAGGGGAGGCGAGGAAGTCTGCGTTCCTAATGGGGGCGCAGCTGCAGAGGTTGCTGTGCGGGGAGGGGAAGATGCCGGCCGTGGAAGCTGTGTGTGTGGATGCGGACGCAGGTGCGGGTGCGGGTGGAGGCTCGTGTTTCCTTCGTATCATCAGATGACGGGTGGGGGACCGTGACTTCACCAGCCGGCCAGGAACATCTCTCATGTTATTTAAATGTCCCGAGGGAAAAGAATCTGAACAGTACCAGCCCCTCCTGCGCCCACATCTTGTACTGGTGGACAGCTGTGCTGTAAACATCCCCTTTGGGTTTTCGTTTGCAGTCATGTAAGTTGTGTTTTATAAAAATAATTAACATCTAATTTGCAAACGAAGAAGATGATGGTGCTCGGGAACTTGGGAATGTGTACTGGTTTGATTGGGTGGTAGTTGATTGTGATGAACTTTTATGTAAGGGTCAGTCATCTGAGGTCGTGTATTCTATGCGTTAGTGGCTGGTTGAATGTTGATAAGCAGTTGGTTTAAAAAGCATGACAAAACTTAGAAGTGCCTTGGCTCAAACTTCTGGTATAATACAGAGCTCTGGGTACATTCACCCTGTACCCCCTTGTGTGTCAATTAAGTAAAGCTATTTTTGGGATTCCCAAATTCTCCACGTTTCATCTCTATCTTGTTTGGTAAAAATAAAATCAGACAGCATGTATACTTTAACATTGTATTCTTGTTCTTCCCTATCTGCTTCCAGTATTTCTTCTTTCTATCCCTTTTGCTATTTCTGGTTTCCTCCCTTTATCCACTTTCTGTGTGTGTGGGTATGTGTGCACACACACACTGGTCCTAGGGCTTGAACTCACGGCCTGGGCACTGTACTTTAGCTTTTTTACCCAGGCCTAAAGTTCTACTTTGAGCTACAGTTCCACTTCCAGCCTTTAGGTGGTTAGAGAGGTGGTTAGAGGTGGATTATCCTAGCTTCCAAATCACAATCCTCATCTCAGCCACTTGAATAACTAGGATTACAGGTGTGAGCCACAGGCTCCAAGCACATCCACCTTCTTTAATCATTGAAGTTGATATTTGTGGTTTGGGAAGGGATGCAATGTTTAGTGTTTTTACTGGGCTCCAAATTCCTATTGCTTAGTGATCTGCTTGGCCCTTGAAGATATGTTTGCATTTCAGATCCATTTTAAATGGATATCCCCACTGTAGTAAAGGCTGTCCTCAGACTGCTGAATCTGTGTTATTGGGGGTGAATGGAGAGATTCTTGGAAACTTTAAAATGTCGTTTTTCATGGATTCAGCCCTCATTGGCACTTCCAGCATTTATCTGATGGAGTGGGCAATCTCTGCTTTAAAAGAAATGTGAAGATTCAGTGATTTAGAAGATGCTCAAGGACTGAGTTGCTGGAAAGGTAACTGTTCTGAGTTAGTGGTGGATTATTTTCTCCAGATTCATCCCAAATCTGATTTCATAGATCTGACTCCAGTTGAGCTGCAGATTGGCCTCATTTTGTATCTTCACAACATGTCCAAAGTACCCTGTGAATTTCATCAAATATTTTGAGGCAAAGATGGACTGGATATGCCTCCAAATGTGCTAGAGCAAACAATCCATCTGCCAAAGAGATACACACTTCACAGTGTAGAAGCAGATGACTCTCAGTGAATTCAGGACTGCTTGATGCCACATGGGATTGATGATATTCCCCAGTGATATGAAATCAACACTTGGGAGGCTGAGGCAGGAATATTTCAAGTTTGAGGCCAGTCTGGGCTACATATTTATAGTCTGCTTCACATACCAATACCCACAAAGCACATAAAATGAACCAACCAAACAAGGTAGACATTTGTCTTAAAGTATGACTCATTTGCAACAAGAAATGTGTTGTTTTCTCTTTTCAATTAGTATGGTGCACAGTAGGGAAGCGGTGTTTAGCATGGTAAAATTGATACATTACAATCATATTTTCTAGGGTTCTATGTGTTGGGAACTGCTAAGAAGATAGATCTTCCAGATAAGTCAATGCGAAGTAACCAGTTGCCTCCCTGTAAAATTTTTTAAAGGAGTTATTGAATTAGTAGATATGTTGTGTTGGATTAGGTTCTTTTTATCTAGATGTTGCTCTCTTGCAGTAAAAGTACTGGGCTTCTAAGATCAACATGGGATTCTAGCCTACTTTAGGCTTTTCAGCAAGAAGCAGAGAGACTTCTGTCTTTAGAGGAAAGTGAAGAAGGTGATTTGAATATGAAATATAGTTTTTTTTCTTCTTGCATTGGGAAATGGATATAGTAGATGTAGACTAGGAAGTAGGTACTAGAGTAGAATTTTATTTGTGCCTTTCTAGTGTAGAATAGAGAGTTTAGCTAGGGAAGATAAGGTGATAGAAAGTAATGAAGTATATATAGTCAAAAGTTCTGATTATACTTTTGATGTTACCAGAAAGTCTGCATAGCTAATCAGTCTTAGTCCTTGCATCTGGCAAAAGAATTATTCAGGCAAGAAGAAAAAGTAGTGAAATATAACAGAGAAAGGAGATTACTATGTTGTAGAATGCCATGGGAATATGACACTACAGTTTGTCTTCTGCCATCTTCTGGGTACAGACTCAGTTTTAGGTTTAAACAGAGGAAGAATTAGAGTCAGGAGACAAAGATATACATAGTTTTAAGGATCCTCCTTGCAGGTGTGCCTGGATGGTCATTCTTTCAGTTCTGGCTCTGCTGGGCTCTAGAGAAGTTGTTTTTGCTGTCATCACTTGAGAGGAGGTACCTCATTTCCATAAGATGACTTCTCTGGCTCCATGGTGCAGCCTGGAGCTTCAAATTATCCTCATTTGGGGATGATCATCCTGCAAGACTCTGCCATTCCTTGTGGATAGTTGTAGTCCTTTGTCAGGAAGATTGTTATCAGGAAGTTAGATCTTGCAAAGTGACTGTATAGAGAATGGCTTAGAACAATGACAAACACAAAACAGAGGCAGAGATGCCAGAAAAGACAGTTTAAGTACTTGTTACCAATATTCTTTCAATAAACTGAAACTAGGTATAGTCTTATAAGGATAATGGCCCTAGCTTTTTGTGGTTTCAAGTCTTAATGAGATTGCTTGCAGGAAATTCCTATCTCTAGGTCCACTCTACAGGATAAAGATCACTTGTCAGCCAGCTCCCGAGGCTCATGCCTGTAATCCTAGTTACTGAAGAGGCTGAGATCTGAGGATCATGGTTCAAACCCAACCTGGGCAGGAAAGCCCATGAAACTTATCTCCAATTAACTATCAAAAAAAACGGAAGTGGTGCTGTGACTCAAATGGTAGAGTGCTAGCCTTGAACTGAAGAGCTCAGGGACAGGGCCCAGGCCCAGAGTTCAAGCTCCACAACAAAATAAATAAATAAATAAGTAAAAATAAAAATAACTGTATACATATACATATATATGTATATATCACTTGTGAATTGCTGTCTTGCTTCCAATATTTTCTCTTAGAGACCTTGTAAAACTATTTTATTCTTTATTATGTACTTATTTATGTATTTATTTTGCTGGTACTGGGGCTTGAATTCAGGAAGGGCATTGTGCTTTCATTTGTCTTTTTTATTCAAGGCTGGTGTTCTACTACTTGGATCATACCTCTACTTCTGGCTTTTGGGTGGTTAATTTGTGTTAGGTCTTCGTCCGTCCCACGAAAGACAGACTGGGTCCGAGGAAAGGTAAGTGCAGAGCTGCCCGTTTCTCAGCCAGGGAGATAATCAGACATAGGGGGGAGCCAAATCCAGCAGGTAGAAAACTCATTTATTAACAGAGAAGCCCTTTTTAAAGCCAAAAAGGGCAGGTGGCATGGCAAGGGAGGAAAAGGAACCAATCACTGTCAAGATCACACCCTATCATGCACCTGAGCCTTCATGGGCTGGTTATGCACTGATAGTAAGGTCAATTGGGCTCTGCCCACTCTACTCTCTCCCAGCGCCATCTTTGCTGCCCATGTGCTCTGCAAATTTGAGATAAGACTCTCATGAACTTTTCAGCCCAGGCTGTGATCTTAGCCTTGTGTGTAGCTAGGATTACCGGCATGATCTACCAGTTCCCAGCTTCTAATG